TGAATAAGGAAGACCAAAGAAGAGTTGATGCTTTTGAGTTGTGGTGCTGGAGAAGAATGCTAAGAATACCATGGTCTGCTAAGAGGACGAACAAATCTGTCCTGGAAGAAATGCAGTCAGAATGCTCCTTGGGAGCGAGAATCGCCAGACTTCATCTCACCTACTTTGGTCATGTTGTCAGAAGGAATCATTCCTTGGAGAAGGATATCATGCTTGGCAAATGAAGAAAGGGAAGGCCCTCGACGAGATGGATAGACACAGTGGCTGCAACAATGAGCTCAGGTACAGCAAGGATCATGAGGCTGGCACAAGACTGGGCAGTGTTTCGTTCTGCTGTGCTAGGGTTGCTATGAGTTGGAGACAACTCGACAGCACCTAACAACAAGAAGTGTAAACTGTGATTGCTTTGGGAGCTACTTTTATATTTATCGGAAGGGGCAGTATATATAGCAGAGTAGTATACCACACACATTCTGGGGCCAGGCCCTTTGGGTTCAAAATGGCTCTGACATTTACCAGGTAAAAAGGACTAATATTACTTCTCTGGGCTTGTTTCCTAATCTGTAAAAGGCAAATAGTGCTGCAGACCTACCTGGTCAGAGTGTTGTGAGGATTAAATAGCAACTATTGTTTAAAATACTAAAATAAGTAATAAAGAATAAAGCAAAATATTTATAATATTCATGTAAATTATATTAAAATTTAACTAAAAAATTGTACAAAAATAATTGTACAAATGTAAAATGAACAGGTTACACCATATAAATTAGGTAACAATATATTCAAATATTACCTTGCATCAATCACATTTTGTTATATTAATATACTATATTATTCATTATAATATATTATAATAATACAATATTAAAGCACTTAGAATAGTGCCTAGTACGTAGTGCTCACTAAACAATGACTAGAGTATGAAGATCCAGGTGAGAGAGATGTGATAGGTTTCAGAGGCCTTTATTCCTGAAAGCTTCATTTTAGAAAAGTGTTTATTATAGAAATCTGCAGGCACCACAAAAAGTGTTTATTATAGAAATCTGCAGGCACCACAAAAGGAAAAGTGTTTCAAGCCCATGAACCCATCACTCAGCGTCAACAGTTACAAATTTCTTGCTGTTCTTGATTTCATCTTTTCCGCCCACTGTTTTTGTTTTGTTCGTGCTGTTGTTGTTATGTGCCGTCGAGTCAAACCCGATTCATAGTGACCCCTCCTTGGGTTTCCGAGGCAGTATCACTACGGAAGTAGGATTGCCCAACCTTCCTTCCAAGGAGTGCCTGGTGGGTTTGAACCGCCAGCCGTCTGGTTAGCAGGCAAGTGTCTTAGCCACTATGCTACCAGTTCGTGCTAGAGGATGTTAAAACAAATGCCAGACTTTATTCCTCCAGAAAGATCTGGGTATGTATTTCTGACAGAGCCACACCCGGATCCTCAGTGATTTCTGCGCGCCCCCGCGACTCCACACCCACCCTCAAGGCCGCGCCTGACACGCCCCCTCTGTCCACAGGTGAACGGGCGTTCTACGCGCCTTCCAGCCCAGGTGTGCAGGGGCGTGGTCGTGCGCTGGGCGGAGGGCTCTGGGGTTGTCATTGAGCGGTCCCCAATGCTCCGAGTGCTGGTGGGACCTGAGGGGGCTGTAGCCCTGCGGGCCTCCCCGGCGCTCCGAGGAGGCCTCCGGACAGCCTGCGGGAACAACAACGGAGTTGCGGCTAACGATCTGTTGCTCCCTGGAGGGCTTCGGGCCACCAGTCTAGACGCCTTGTTCCGGGCGTACCTAACTCGGAGCTTGAGCCACCGGTGAGCTTCGAGCTGCCGCCTCGGGACTTGGGAGCCCAGGCCCCAACTTCCACCGGCAGAGGGGGTGACCAGTCCAACTCCCTGCAGCCCAGGCTGCCCAGCGCCCACTTCTGCGTGTCTCCCCACAGCACGGAGAAGCTAATTCGGCCGTCTGTGGCCCAAGATTTCACCACGTGACCTGTCTTTTCCGATTCAGACCTGCCCTGGGAAAAGTGACACACGGAGCTTTCCGATATGGTTTTAGTAAATAACTAATGACAAAAACATGCGTGTGCCTGCCTTCTCGCTGACTCGCCCTGAGGCAGAACCTCCAGCTTCCTGCTCCTTTGGGACCTAGGAGTTAAATCAGGACTCCCTCTCCCCTCCTACTCAAAAGCTAAGTGTCCAAACGCAAAGCCCTTTACTTTTCCCCTGCATCCACGTAACACGATTCCGGAACCACAGTTACCTCAAACAAACAGACTTCCTGCGGGCGGAGATGCAAACTAGCGAACTGGAGGCTCCGCCCATGTCCCGCCCTAATTGTAATATGACTTACCTCTAGCCAATGGGGCGTGACAGCGCCGGAAAGAGCTCAGGTGGAGGCGGTTTTTGAGGGGGCGGGGGAAGCACGCAGCGGAAGTGTGGGTTAAGTTGACCTCCCTACTTTCCTAACTGCTGCTACGGTTCGTGGGACTTTCGCGGTGTACGTCTCTTGTCCACTCGCCGCTATGAGCCGGCCCAGCCGGCTACAGAGGCAAATTCTGACCCTGTACCGCGATTTTCTCCGTGCCGGACGCGGGAAACCGGGCGCTGAGGCAAGGATACGGGCTGAGTTTCGAAAACATGCCTACCTGCCACGCTCCGACGTGCTGCGCATTGAGTACTTGTACCGCCGCGGACGGCGCCAGCTCCAGCTGTTACGCTCGGGCCACGCCACCTCTATGGGCGTCTTCGTACGCCCGCCGGGCCCTTCTGGGGAGCCCGGCGGTGTGGGATCGCCGGAGACCCAGCCCGATGACACTAACGGTCCGAGGAGAACGCTCGAAGGAGCGAGGGCACCGGAAACACTGCGCGATGGACGGTGAAGAGCAGAAAAGCCCACTGGATGAAGCCGAGGGGGCCCACCTGACTGCATGTGTAAGCTGCGGAAGTCTCCTAATGGAAGGTTAGAGGTCTTCAGAGCCTAGCTCAAAGGACTAGGGGAATCAAGAGAGCTATCTCGAGACTGGGGGTCCCTCAAAGAGTACCGTGATGGACGGGGAGAGATGCCCGCTGAATGGTGACCAGTCGGACTCCCTGAATGAGGATTTGGGACGGGCTGGGGCGCCCTCTGGCTGGTCTTTGTCAGGCTGAGAGCACCTTACCCGAAGGTACCGGGAGCAGGGATGCCTCCCTTGTGGACAGAGGCCTAGACATCCTTTCTTGATCCCTGAGAACATAACCACCCCTTGACTCCACAAGGTGACCGTCTTTCCCCGTCTTTAACTCTGAGAAGAGCAGACTCTTAGCTGAAAAGGACTTTGGGAATATACCCTGATGGATGGACGGTGAGAAGCCCCTCTTTGGAAACCACTCTTCCCCCCTCCCCTGCCCCATTAATTGTGACAAATTAGGACCGATAAGGGAGGAATTAGGGATCTCTCACCCCAGCTCACCAACTCAAGTCCCTTCAAAACCTCTCCTTGATGGTTCTGAGGGTTATCTCCCACCCCTGGACTGTTAAATACAATTAAAGATGTGCTTACTTCTCTGTGGGTGGTCTTTAATAATTTTATGTGCTTGAGATTTTTTTAAGAGGCACCCCACACATGCCAATAAGTGACCCTCGGGGAGGGGAGTGCATGTGGAGAGCTGTCTCTTCCCCTCTTGAGTCCTCTAGACTGGCCACTTGGTTGAAGCAGTAAAGTTCTCCGTCCTGGGCAATCCAGGGAAGGGACCCATCTTGGCTTTACCCCAGAGAGATCCCAGGTGATTCCTTAATGGAGTGTATCCAGAAAGGAGAGGAAATGGTGAAGCGAAAAAAGAGTAAGAGCCCAAGATCCTGAAAGTGGAGTGGAGCCCTACTGATCCAGCTCTCATTACTTCAACCACATGTCCCATCTCTCCCACTCACTCACTCCTGGCTCCATGGGCAGGGCTGCAGGCAGTAAGCAAATTCCACTGAACTGGTTTTCCCGAGTCAGCAGGAGAGGGGCCAAGGTACAGACAATGAGAGAAGGGAATGCCTGAGAGGAGTGGACAGGTAATCTGTGGTTGAGCACGGATTCTGGAACTAGAATGCCTGGGTTTGACTACCAGCTCTAACACTAATCACAGCATTACAGTCAAGTAATTTTATCTCTTTGTGCCTCAATTCCTTTATGAAATGGGCATAATAATAGTGCCTCCCTCATGGGACTGTTTTGATGATTCTGTGAATTAATAGATGTTTGGGCAACTTGAGTTCACCTGCAGTTGCAGAAGAGGTTCACAAGGAGGCTGACAGCTTCTTGCCCTGAACCCCTGCATCCCTGCTCCTCTGCTTGAGAGCTTTTTGGGAGTTGGGGAAGGTGGGTTAATGCCCTTGGGGCAACGCTCAGCCTGTGGGCTACAGGAATCACTAGATAAATGTCCTAGACTGCCTGTTGTCCAGAGGGATGACTGTAATACGATGTTCTACCAGATTTCTCAGAGGTCCCCCTGGTTGAGTCCTGGTTGCCCAGGGCGGTAACCAGCCCACAAACAGGTACATTCTGGCTTTTCCCCTGCCGTCTCCCTCTCCCCACTCCCTTAATCCTGCCTCTTGTGATCACCTCCTAAATAAACTGCCTTACCCCAGTTCTTGATATGCAAAGCTCAGGGCAAAGTGTCAGGTATGAGATTGGCGGCTGGTACTCTACATGGCGTCTGCTGCTGTGGTTTTTGCTCGGCAAAGGCGCAGGATCAGTGCTTCTCAATCCCTTGACCATGTTTGTTAAACAGAAACCTGATCTAAGAAAATGGCTATAAAGGACATTATGGGGTTTGGAGTAATTTGGATTATGGATTATGGGTTAAAAGAATAGTATGGAATTATGTTGTTAAATTGCCTGACTTTGATAACTACTCTAGTTGTGTAAGACAATCCCCTTTTTCT